CAGCTCAGACTCATAGTGATCTTCCTGGCTCAGCCTTCTCAGCCCTGGGATTACAGGCATGAGCCATCACATCTAGTTTTGGGCTCGCACAGCGCGCCTGGTTTCAGGGCCAGCATGGCATGTGGTATTGGGGATCAAACCTGGGCCCTTGCATTTGCCAGGCAGGCAGTTAGACCACGAGCTATCTCCATAGCCACGACAACTTTTTTAAAACACAAAAAACTCCCAAGTTTTGTTGGCTTAAAACAGAAAAGTACTGGTGAATGCACATCTCTGGTTTACCAGAACCTTCTTTCCTGGATAACAGAAAGCACTGATCAGTAAGGACAGTTAGGGAGCCCTTCTTTGGTTCATTGCTTTGGGAAGTCTCCTTCAGGTGACCTTCAGCCAGAGCATGTTCAGGTGACTTCAGCATTGACAGTGCTTGGTAGACAGTGCTAGCAAGTGCTCTACCCATAACTGATTTAGAACCTTGGTGCTATTAGATAACAGACATATCAGAGGCAAATTAGCCAACAGTTTTATAGAGCATCAGAATAATTATAGCAGTAACAGAAAAGGCAGAAAACCAAAGCTGAAGCTTCTTAAAAAGGGGAATGTTCGCAGCATTTGTTTCTCCGATTTGGACTTTAAAAAAGGAAAAGAACGAGGCCGCCTGGCTACGTCAGCGCTGTGAGGACAGCCAGAGGAGGGTGTCACGTCTGGATGGAGGGAGCTACACAGGTACCGACCAGCAGTCCAGGCTTCTAGAAAAGAGCACTTTGGAACACATTTCAAACATTTTGAAGCATATAAAAAGGTAAAATTTTAAACATAGTCTAAAAAGGGACTTTTAGGAAACCTCCCATGCTTGCAAATTCATTGTTTTGAAAGATCCATCGAGGAATCAATCAATCACACCCCTTAAAATGCAATTTTACAGCAGGCCATTTCGTGACTAACACAAAATGACCTAAGAATCTGTATATAAAGGCAGTTAAAAACCAAAAGCAGGAGGAATGGTATTTAACAAATTTTTTTAAAATGAAGAAAAACATGCTGTGCCGGCCCCGCCCCCCATGTGCGCTGAGATGGCAGTGGGGACTGGGCGGGTGGCACGCGCCTGTAATCCCAGCTCTCGGCAGGCTGAAAACAGGCGGATCACTGAGAGTCTGATCTAGTAGTAAGACCCTGAACACCCTGTAGACCTTTCCCTAAAAAAGATACAAAAGAAAAAGAAAAAAAAAAAAAAAAAAGACTGGTTTCATGCAAAATATTTAAGGAGGCTTGAAAGAAGAGTGAACTGGTAGGGAAGTTCTTACAGGTTCAATTTCAGAATAATCATTATGATGAAATCCAAAGAAGACGTCCAAAGTACTATGCGAACACTTAGCACATGCAAATTTTCTTCAACAAAAAAAAAATTCCAAAGCATTAGTAGTGATGCTGTAATTTATGAACAAGAGTGGTGCTGCTTTTGTTTTTACCTGAAGTGACATTTAAAAGCTTCGGCCAACCTGGCCCGGAACTGGGAGAGACGGCTAGAAGCTGCTCTTGCTGGACGGAGGGGTCTGAGGAACTCGGGCGCTCCTCCACCACGCGGGGTCGGTGCGCAAAGGCGGTAAAATGGCCACGGCTGAAAGCGCTTCCAGCCTACGCATCTTACTCGTCAACACCTTCACGTCTTTCCATTACCACATATTCATATCTTACGTTATTTTGCTTCATGACCACTTTACTTTCTCCCCACCTTCCAAAGTTTATTTTTATTCACTTTACTGTAAGCTCTAGGAGGCCGTGTCCGTTCCTGCTCTCTGCAACTAGGAAGGCAACGCAGCACTTGGCATTACTCATGCTAGTGAAGCTAGTGCTGATGAACTTTCACCAAATAAATGCCTGCCGCCAAAAAGCTGCACAAACCATCAGGCTCAGTAAGGCACAAGCTTTCAGTCCAGCTGGTGGCTCTCAGCCACTAGGGCACAGCTATGGAACTCAGACACCTGACACGGTTTTAACTTAGTAGCTGATGTACTGTATATTACGAGTAGTCCAAGTGGACTCCTGTCCACCTCCAACTCTGCAGTGACGCACTGTCTCAGCCAATCATCTGCCCCATCCCCTGCTCCACAACATGCCTCATGGCAGAGGGCCATGGATGCAGAATTTGTGAATGCTCCGTGTTGTGTCAAATTTAAACCTTGGCGGTGTCTGTCTGCCAGTTCCCAACTGAGATGAGCTGGTGCGTTCTCACTCACTCTTGAAGTCCAGCTAAAACATCTTTCCCCAGAAGATGTCTTCCCAGAATCGTGGCAAATTACATAGGCATGGGGGACAACAAACAGAAGAAATAAAGAGAATTTCATCGCATTTGAACTAAAACAGTAATGAGACAGCAACACAACTAGAAACAAACTCGAGGGATAATGGACTCCGTGCAGAACACACACGCGGTACAAGCTAGAAGGGACAAGAAAGCAAACCAGAAGTTTCTAGAACCGAAAGACATGCAAGACCAGCAGGGAGGGCCTAGCAGAGAAACACAGTGGAAGGGCCCAGAGGGTGGGCAGTGTGCCAGGGACCCATCCACGAAGCAGTAAGAACGATGTCATTTGTGTTACGGTGATACCTTGATGCACTAGCAGTATGAGGATATAAGAAACCATGTGGGCGCCTCTAAACAGTTAATAATCTTTACTTCCAATGGCACCATGTAACTCTAAGTAATGATTACGTTATACAGAGAATTTAGTTACATTTATTGGCAACATGATAGCAATATGAAGAAACTTCCAAAGGGCTGGCCGGGTAGCTCAGCGCACTAAAATGCCTGCTTAGGCAGAGCGCAGAGGCCAGGGTTCGATCCTTGGCATGCTGTGCTGGCCCTGCCCCTGGGGCATGCTGAGACAGGGACAGAGACTGGGCGTGGTGGCGTGCACCTGCAATCCCAGCTCTTGGGAGGCTGAAAACAGGAGAATCACTATGAGTTCCAGCTACGTAGTGAGACCCTGTTCTAAATAAAGGGAAAAACAACAAAAAACACCTTCCAAATTGCATTTAATTTTGGCCTGCTGAAAGATAAAAAAAAAATTAAGCTGTAAATGTTAACTTATATAATATGGCTATTAAAATATTAAATCAAGGGGCCGGAGAGATGGCTCAGTGGAATAAGCGTTTCCCTGGCAAGCGCAAGGGTCTGAGTTCAATCCCCGGTTCCGCCAAAAAAAAAAAAAATTAAATCAAGGTCTGGTGTATAGCAGGCATTATTACCAGTGCTTGCTGTGGTTGCCAACATTCCTAGTGCTTGGTCACTGATTTCTGAAGTGTCACTAGGCCAAGCACCAACACAGGAGCCACGCTTGTGCGAAGTTATCAGAGAAACAAGCACAAAGATCTCAAACACACAGAAAAAGCATATGTGGTCAATTTTGGTAACATTAAAATATCAATTCTGAATACACATTCAGGTTTTGCTAAAGAGTTTTTAAGAATAAATACGGACAACATAACAGGCATGCAAATGTGGTTGACAGGGTCTGGGGAGATGGCTCAGTAGAATAAGCACTTCCCTGGCAAACGCAAGGGTCTGAGTTCAATCCCCAGTTCCATGAAAAAAAAAAAAAAAAGTGGTTGACTGAATATACTATTGTATCTGTATCACTTCAATTTGTATATATCTGTTAATTTTAAAAAGTATAATATCAATATTGATATTACTTAATAAAATTGAATGAAAAATTGTAAGATTCACACTTTGAAATATGAATTCTGGATATTAAATGTATGTGATATGAAATAGATGTGAATGATCGAGAATTTTAAATCAAACAAGAGACACTATTAAAATATTTTAAAAGAAATTTTAATTATAATTCTATTAATTTATACTTTAGGATACAAAAATGAACTTGATCTCACAATACATTTTGAGAAAATAGTGCAGCTCTTTCTAATGCACGATCTGGATCTCAAGCTGATACTGGGGTAAGATGAAGACCACATGAACACCTCCAGTAAAACATACATCATATGTATTTCAAATGTAACAACATTCTAAATATACATTCTCTTTGTATTCTCCAAAGTATTCAAAAGTGCTTTCAGGATACATATGTGTCTATACACAGGGATTATAATAAAGTGTGAGGAAGCAGGACTCCACCCAAAAATTTTAGGTCACTAATCAGGACACGGACAAGTTAGTTGATGACATGAGCTGTGTGCACTGAGGAACGACTTTAGACTTCCTATCCATTCTAAAATTACCTTTTCTTAGACTAGTACAAAAGTTCGTTATTCCCTAATTTAAGCCAACTCCAATTTAAGACAACACTGTTTATTACAACAAATACTATGAAATTCACATTGTTTTGGTTAGTGAAATTCTGTATCATTAGTAATTTTTCTGTTTTAATACTACTTTGTACTCTTTAAAAAATAAAGATATTTAAAATAAATAAATGGTCCTTCTATTACAAATGGTTATAAATCGGACTAAACTTTTCTACTCTATATATTAAGAAAAACCAAGACATAGAAAGTAAATCTCAGCGCTTGCCTGGCAAGTGCAAAGGCTGGAGTTCAATCCCCGGCTCCACCAAAAAAAAAAAAAAAAAAAAAAAAAAGAAAGAAAAACCTCCGAGAGCCCTAGACAATGGCAGCTTCTAAAAATATGTTAGGTGAAGTAGCACAGATAGGTGATTTTCTTCTGGGTGCATGACTGGGCAGATGAACCGGGAATGAGCGGAGACAAGGGGGAAAAGGAGGCTAGAGTAGTGACACACAACCAGCACCCTCACACACAGCTGGTGTCATTCAGGGCTGCTACTTTTTGACATGATAGACATTTGAAACCAGTTCATTTTCTGCTGTGGGTGCTGTCTCATGCATTAGTGAGTGTTCAC